TTAGTTTAACCATTTTTTTCAATTCCCCCCTCTCCTCAGAGTGAAGGCACTATTACATTAGCCTGGTTACCATAGTAACTGAGTTCTTATTCTTGGATTGTGCTGCTGCATATTTCAGACATTGGGAATTTGCATTTATCAATTTACATGTGATGATTCTACAAAATACCTGTATTTTATAGTTTCCAATAACTGAGTTTTTGAATGGGTCTTCGGAGTTTCCTCTTGAAATGTAAACCATTCTAAGGATGGTTTGTAATATTACACTGATTTTCTTGGGTGTTTTTGGAACATCTTACTTGCATGTTGGATTCTCACCATGTCCAATATGTCTTAGATTTCATTACTGATGCTTCTGAGAACCCCAGTATTTGCTTCTTCCTAGCTGAAAATCATGAAATATTTAAGCATACACCTGGCCAAGCCTAGTATGTGTGCATCTAGGCATGTAGCCCATATTCAGGTATTCTAAATTCCTCCCTTGATGGAAAGTGGAACCATCCTACTGTCCTTGTTGCCCTCCAAACCCTGGAGAAAGAGGGGAACCAACAGGGTGGGGGCAGGAGCACATCTGGCATGCTGGTGGCCTTTCTTTCTCTCTTTTTAAAATGATCTTTATTGGTTTTACAAATTTCGCCTACATAATACATACCTTATTTCTTTTAACCTTAATGCTTTAACTCTAACAAGTTTGCACTTCCCTCCCTCCTTCTTCTGCTTTCTCTATTATTTTCTTATTTCTCTCCAAATGTTAACATATGAGTATTTCAAATTGGTTGTTCTTGTTATGCTCTCTGGCGGAATGTCAGCTGATTGGCAAGCATAGAAAAGTAGATTACTGTAGCTTATATACCTCCCAGTTATGTTTCATTTTATGTTATTTTTTCCTTGCAGAAATAAAGTAACCTTTGTCTAGTAATGGTTTAATATGTTTCCAGTAATTGTGTCTGTGGCATGTTCAGCAAATGTAATCAATTACTAATCAATTAATCATGTTTTAAACTGGATGGTTAACAAAAATCTTTAATTCGCTGATGGCATTAATTTTTAAAAAGCATTATTAAGCACGGTCAAAATGGCCTGGTCTGCAACAGAAGCATGTGTTCATTTTGTAATGAATGGAAAATCAAACCAAAAGGGGGTCATTCATTCAATTTTTCATTCTTAAAAAATGAGCTGCAAGGGTAACATATGGATACAAATTGGATTCATTTTTGTTTTCCCTTATGTATCCATTCATCACTCTTTCAGGAATGTGTCAGTGTGCAGGCGGTCCACTTGCTACTTTATTTTATTTTTCCAGAATGCGCTTTGTAGGACAGGAGAATGGCAGCTCCCACCAGAAACTGGGCGGGCGGGGGGGGGGGAGGCACTGTAGTGGAAAATGCAGAAGATAAACCGAGGGGGATGTAGGTTTGACCTTGCGCAGCCCACCCTTCCTGTGTGTCCTCGCAGGAGCACCCCCGCCCCTGAGGGTGGCCCAGCCGGGCCTGGACTGCCCAGATTAGGAGCCCTAATTGGCACAGGTGGCGGTCATGGAGACATCCAGCCCTGCCTGGCTGGGGCAGGTGCAAATGGCGCAGGGCAACAGTCAAGGAGGATGAGGGATCAAATGCTGTGGAGGTTACTTATGGCTGGGTCTGGTGCTGTATGTGGGTGAAGGTCTGGTGGGGAAATTGTTCCTTTGGAGTCATTTCTCGGTTTGAGGGTTTTTGTTGCTGCTGCTGCTGCTGCTGTTTGAGGTTTTCCTATTGTGTTCAAATAAAAATATATTTCCCCTTATATATTGTCTACCAAAGATCTTTTAAGAACCTGCAGTGTTAATTGACAAGCAGCAATATCAAAAGCAACACGATGGCCAGAAACAATTGCAATGTGAAAAACTTTATGGAATAATTCAAAACAGCAAAACTAACAAACTGAAGTCTCTGAAAGTCCTTAAATGAATCACGGTGCCAGACTTTACCCGGCGGAGAGCAAGCTGTGAAGCTTTGTATAATCAGTAAATTCTGATGTCCAACTCTGAACTCTGAACTCTGGATAACAACTACTGTTTCGTTGAATTCTTCATCAGCCAATTAGTTCAACACTCGTAAGTAGAAAGATATGTAATTTCTTCATTAACTGAAAATAAAATATTCAAACGATGACCTGCACATGCATAACAACAACTTCAAATAGTGTAGAAATTATAAACTGTAACATAAAAAAGTTACATACTCAATCTTTTTCGAACAGATATAATATACATGGGAATGAAAAATACTGTGGAACAGTGCTCATGCGATTATGTAGTCACTGTTACTAAGAACATTTTTTGAAAAATATATATAGCCAACCCCAGGTGATACTAATAACAAGGAGACTGAGTTTAAAGACACAGTACAAAGTAACAGCAAAGATACAGATAATTAAATAAAACAACTGAGGTCTAATTCAGAGATAAGTCCCCCTGGAAGAAAAGTTTTAAACATAAAAATAAAACGGGTTTCTTGCTGCCGTAACTGTTGCTCATAATCTTTTCTAATACCATTTGTCTTCTGATTCACCCATAAAACTGTAAATAATAAATCTGTGTCTGAATGATTGCGAGAAACAAAATGTTCTACCAGAAGTGAGTGATGCTCCCCAATCTGAACCCCAGCTGCTCGAGTGGTAGAGCCTATATACAATAGATTACAAGGACATCAAATAAGGTAGACAACGTCTCTGGTCTGACATGTACTAAATTGACGAATAACAAATCTGAAATTGGTTTTCTTATCATAAATTTCTTTAGTCTGTAAAGAAAATGGGCAAGATGAACATCTGCCACATTTATGGTGACCAGTGGGCCCAGAAGTGCTAATGGTATGAGTTATAATTGACAAGACAGGCACTAGTGGACACCATGATTTTTATATGATTTTTTGTGGCTGGCCGGCAGTGGCTCCTGAAAATACTTCAGCCACAGCATAGGAAAAATAAATAACTAAATAAATAAAGAGAAATAAATAAATAAATAAATAAATAACAGTAAAAGAAAGGGGGAAGCAAATGTAGTAATGAAACAAATGCAAGTTTAACAAATGGATGTCAAAGTGATTTGTAACTTTAACAAATGTAACTTTAACAAAGAATGAAATCTAAAAGAATGAAAACAAATGAAAATGTGAAAATTGCCCTTGTCTAGACAGGAAGCAAAATGGGAATCTTTTGGTAGTAGAGTGAACTGTGCCACTTAGAGAGTGGATGGTGTCTAGGGATGGCGAAGAAATTCTATTCCATTTACATATAAAGGTAAACTTACCAAATTCACGTTCTGCAAAACAATATGCCAACCAAAACACAGCCATCGTTCAGATTTGCACTTACCCAGATTTTGCCATGCAGGTGTCCAGTAATGTGTACAAAAGTGCTTATGCTGTTGTTTATGTTACCATTGTAAAGTGTGCTCAAAAATGCATATCTTAGGGGAAATAATGTAGAAAATGCATCATATTAGGGAAAACTGTTTGCAAAAATGTGTATATTACGGGAGATTGCATATGAAAAAGTGTAGAGTGGGAGGAAGTTGTGCATACATGCTGATCAATGTGAAATGTGGAGAACTGAATTTAAGATTGAAAAAAAGAGAAACGGAGAGAAACAAAAAATGACAGATTCCCCCATTCCTAGCACTGATGCCATTTTAATCCTCCTCTTGTTTGTCTAATGCAATCTTATCAGAAAGAACATTCTGGTTCAGCCCACTCCTAGCTACGTGAGTTGTCTACTTGCAAGGAGTTTTTAGACCAGAAAGCATTTTAGGCCTTTTGCTCACAGCCTGAAGTCGTATTTTCTATTTAGGCACCTCATAGCACCTTCTTCTGCTCTGTGTCAAGACCAGGCCACCCTTGCTGCAGAGGTGACCACTAAGACTCTGGGACAGTGGTTATTTCAGCCGCACAGTTAGTACTTGACTCTCCATTCCCTTATTCTGACAGTCTGAGTGACCTATGAAATGAATCAGGTGACACTGTGGGGAAACGTTGCCTTCAGTTGCCGTCTTTAACAGTAAACCTAAGATTCCTGGCTTACTGTTTGTGCATCTAAACCTGAATGAAACCAAGCAGCCACACAACACAACAAAAGATTGTTGGAACATGAGTAACTGAAAGCTCCTTATCAACACAGAGAAATGACTATTTTAAGAAAAACAATGGAAGAAAGAAAACGCTTTTTAAAAATGAGCTCCAGAAAATCCATTTTAAAAACTATGAAGTACACACAACCTAGAACCATTTAGGAGATATGGATGTTAAACAAAAGAAGAGATTATTTTATTTCTCTTCCTCCATCACCCTGGTTTTAAAATGAACTGTTAGCCAGTTTGTTTGACTCCAATCTGACTTTCATGTTTTATTAAGTCCTGGATTGTCAAAGCAAATTTAATTTATTTAATTCTTTGTTCTTTCTCCTGACTACCAGCAGAGCGGCTTTCAGTGCTTTCTTTCTTAACTGAAAATGCCAGGTAGTTTGGGCTGAGATCTGGTGTCATGTACTGCTCATGATTGACAGCACAGACATTTGACTCTCTTTGCTGAATGTGTTTAAATAGACTGGAGAGGAGCTGTGAATTTACGGCACGTGGAATGAATGAAATTTTTAATCCTGAACTGATTCCATCCAAATTCACAGAGCACCAGATGCATAGTCATAATAGCCAATCACAAGCATGCAGTGCAGTCCGTGCTTATGAGATCATAATACTTAGAATCTATGCAGCACATTTCAAGCAGTGGCGTAGCGTGGGGGGTGCAGGGGGGGCCGGCCGCACCGGCCGCAACATCTGGGGGGGCGTGCTCGCACTCGCAGCTCTCTGCCTCTACCTGGCTCACTCACTCTCACTGCAGTGCTGGCTGTGCGAATCCGATCCGAGCCCCTGGGTCACTGCCCACTGTGGAGGGGGTGGGTGCCAGGCGTGCGGTGCGGAGAGAGAGCGAGGGACTATCTGGGGGAGGGACAGTGCAGCGGCCGCCCAGCGCAGCGCTGAGCGCGGGAGAGAACCACACCAGACCAGACCAGGCAGCAGCAAGAAGAAGCTGGCAGCGGCGGCAGGTTAGGGGTTAGGGGGCGCAAATTACTTGCCTTGCCCCGGGTGCTGACAACCCACGCTATGCCGCTGATTTCAAGTGCTAATTGTACTTAATAGGAATTACGTCAGTAATCTTTGCATCCTCCCTATAGGCTAGGTTACTGTGGGGGGAGAAAAGTAGCTTTTCTAAGGCTGTCTAGTGAGTTCCTGAATCTGGTACATCCCAGCTCACCTTGCAGTGCAGCCTGATGCAAGTCTACATAGAAGTAAGTCCCACTGTGTTCATTGGGGCTTACTCTCAGGAAAGTGTGCCTAAGGTTGTAATTCTGCAAACACTTATTTGGAAATAAGTCCCACTGAACTGTAGGGTCCAATGAATCTGCTGCCGCTCAAGGAAGATGCTCAGAATGGTCTCTAATATAGAGAATCATAGAATGGTGGAGTTGGAAGAGACCCCAGGGGTCAGCTAGTTCAACCCCCTGCAATGCAGGAATATGCAGGTGGCCTATATGTGAACTTGGCATAATCAGCACCACATGCTAACCAAAAAAGGTAACTGGCTTCCCATATAATATATATTTGAAAAGAAATTAAAGTTTGGAGAACTTGCTTGAACACCATTTCTCAACACATTAGCTCCAGCTCTTTCATCTACACCAGTTTGACTTTATTCTTGCACATTCTACCTTTTTTAAAAAAAGAACAGCGCTGGATTAACATTCATTGCAAGATTACTAGCAACTATCATATAACAGCGGGACTACAAAATAATTAGAGAATAGCCCACTGGTGGACTATCTTCTGTTCATCCCTGCTCTATCCTATGCCCTTTTAAAATGTGTCGTTTTTTTGGAGGGGGGTTATTGGGTTGTTTTTGTTTTTATTATGTATTTTGTGGTTTTATATCTTGATTTTATTCTGTGAACCACCCTGAGACCCCTGGGTATAGGGTGGTATATAAATTCAATAAATGATGATGATGATGTAACACATGGAAAGGATCTAGGTTCACCTGAAGCCTTATATCATATTATTATCACTGCACAGAGGTCACATGAAGCTGAAATCAAGGTCCTACTGAATCTCAAAGGGGAAGGCAAGTCACCTTTGACTATTTTTATTCCCCTGCATTTTTCCTAATGCAAATAATTACCTGCCCAGTTGCTTTCTTTCTTCTTCAGGTCCTAAGTTGCTCCTTCAGTTCCAGCTAATGTCCAGTGTATGTAGAGCAGCATTCCAGCTATATCCCACAGAGCACAATAGAAAATGATAAGCAAATAACTCATTATGCAAGGGGAACCATTCGGAATCTGCAGAAGAGGACTGCAGCTCAGAGCAAAACAGATTTTAAATAAATGTACATAGGATTGCAATGGAACCCCTGTCAAGATGAGAAAATACCATTGCAAGCAGTAAATGTCTGTCACAAGAGGCTGTATAACATCACAAGGTTACCTGCCTCTACACAGTTGTTGGACTATGGGGCAATGAACCGCTTCAAAATGTCTCTTTGTCAGAAGGAGTGATTTCCGAGAGCTTTCATGAAGATAGAATTGTGTCCAAGCCTGATTCCTCCCTCTTATCTACCTGTGTGGAGTTGTCTCCCTCAATTTGTCGGTATCACTTAGGAACAAATCACTTCCTGTAGCTAGAGGCCAGGGGTGGAACAATCTGTCAATTCTGATTTCCCTCTATTTACCATTTTCAGCTATTAAGCTCTGTTTCCCCATTTCTGCATCAGTTTGCAATTTTAAAAAAACCTACATGGAATTTCTTGTGCATTTGCACACACATTTCTCCTGATATACACTTTTTGTATATTTGCCTAACATATGTTTCCCTGCTATTTTCCATGATAAGCATTTCTTCACACTGCTTTCACTAATGTGCTCTTTCTGCTGCACCCATTCCCCTAATACATGCACCTTTACATTCTTTTTTTGTTTGGCAAACTGCATTGCAATATTCAAAGAAGTGCGAATTTCAAAGGCTAGCTGTGTTTCAGTTTCTGTAGTGGCTGTGGATGTGCAAATTAGGTGGGATGGCATTGGCCGAGGGAGGCGGCCTACAGCTTCCGGGTCATGTGGCCAGCATGAGTAAGCCGCTTCTGGCGAACCACAGCAGCCCACAGAAATGCTGTTTCCCGCCGGAGCGGTACCTATTTATCAACTTGCACTTTGAAGTGCTTTCGAACTGCTAGGTTGGCAGAAGCAGGGACTGAGCAATGGGAGCTCACCCCGTCGCGGGGATTCGAACTGCCAACCTTCCGATCAGCAAGCCCAAGGCTCAGTGGTTTAGACCACAGCACCACCTGCAACTTACTAGAGACATCTAATAAATGTGAATAGTGTTAGTTCTAGTATTTTGTGATTGGTTAAAAAAGAAAAAAAATACTATATAAGAATTCCCTGAATGCCTAGATCCAGGTTGAGAGAAACAACTCTTTGGTGAGCAAGCCCAAGCAGAGATTTAAAGTCACAAACATGCAGCAAAGTGTGGACATATAAGTTGTTAGACTTTTAAAACAACCCCTTCTAAGTCACTTCCAAAGTTTCCCACTTCCCTTAGCATAGAATAAGACCACAGGTTTGGTAAGTTAAAAATGGTTTACCTACAGACTCTTCAAATGTCAAATTCATGTGCTTTTCCATACAATAGCAAGAAAAGTCAGGCAGTTTAACTTAGGTTACCAAATGGTAAAATTTGTATAGAAACACAAAAGGTGGTTTTCTAAAGCCACGTGGTCTAAGCTTGGAGCATGCAACTATGAAATCCTTACTGGTTGGGTGCACAAGGTGGAAGCAAAAGAACAAAGAGTTTAGTAGCTTTTCCTCCCAAGGTGAGGGCATGTGACCTAGCTAAGCCTGTCAGGACAGCTTACTCTATGGTCTTAATCCCTTCATAAATTAATTAGAGTTAAGCATGTTGGTTAAATGAGGCTGATTTATGCAGCAAATATCACAGCTTCCAAAGTCAAAATGTGGAAGAATTTTATGTTACCATGCATGTTTTACAAAGGAGATACAGTTGAATTGTAAGCATGAGAAATTCAGTGCATAAAAATTGTGCTGTAGGTGGCAAACATAATAAAGTGTCTTGGAAATCACAATTTCAATAAAACTAAATCAATAAAACAGCAAATAGCAAAAACAGGACACGTATTCCTGTTGATGTTTTCATGGTCCATTACATTTGACAGCCTTAACTAGCAACTTTATTTTTTTATCATATACATGGATGGGTGAATAGATATTCCTTTTATACTGCTGTTGAAAAGTTATATTTGAGGCGTTGGTGTACAAAGCCATAGGTAAAGTAAAGGACCCCTGGATGGTTAAGTCCAGTCAAAGGCGACTATGGGGTTGTAGCGCTCATATCGCTTTCAGGCCGATAGAGCCGGTGTTTGTCCACAGACAGCTTTCCGGGTCATGTGGCCAGCATGACAAAATGCTTCTGGTGCAACAGAACACCATGACGGAAGCCAGAGTGCATGGAAACACCGTTTACCTTCCTGCCACAGCAGTTCCTATTTATCTACTTGCACTGGCGTGCTTTTGAACTGCTAGGTTGGCAGGAGCTGGGACAGAACAACAGGAGCTCACTCTGTTGCAAGGATTCAAACCACCCACTTTCTTATCGGCAAGCCCAAGAGGCTCAGTGGTTTAGACCACAGCGCCACCCGTGTTCCACCGTATACAGCTTGGGACCAGCATTCTTAGAAGATCACCTCATCCCCATAATCCTCAGTCAATCACTGTATTCTGCAGGAAAGGGCATCCTGCAGATCCCATTGTATCAGGAGGGACATTCTGCAGGATGTCAGATTCGGCCCCTTCCCTTTGGAACTCCCACCCACTGCATATCCAGCAGACTTCTTCTCTTGTATCTTTTTGGCTCCTGCTAAAAAGACACCTCTTTATCACAGATGGTATCCGTATTAGATTGAATTGATTTTATACATGTGTTGTGTTGTTTTTAATTGTTTTTATAGCTACAAATTTTTATATATAAAAAAGCTTTTATTATTAATCTGTTGTTGTTGTTGTTTAGTCGTGTCCGACTCTTCGTGACCCCATGGACCAGAGCACGCCAGGCACTCCTGTCTTCCACCGCCTCCCGCAGTTTAGACAAACTCATGTTTGTGGCTTCGAGAACACTGTCCCACCATATCATCCTCCGTCGTCCCCTTCTCCTTGTGCCCTCCATCTTTCCCAACATCAGGGTCTTTTCCAGGGAGTCTTCTCTTCTCATGAGGTGGCCAAAGTATTGGAGCCTCAGCTTCACGATCTGTCCTTCCAGTGAGCACTCAGGGCTGATTTCCTTAAGAATGGATGCGTTTGATCTTCTTGCAGTCCATGGGACTCTCAAGAGTCTCCTCCAGCACCATAATTCAAAAGCATCAATTCTTCGGCGATCAGCCTTCTTTATGGTCCAGCTCTCACTTCCATACATCACCACTGGGAAAACCATAGCTTTAACTATACGGACCTTTGTTGGCAAGGTGATGTCTCTGCTTTTTAAGATGCTGTCTAGGTTTGTCATCGCCTTTCTCCCAAGGAGCAGGCGTCTTTTAATTTCGTGACTGCTGTCACCATCTGCAGTGATCATGGAGCCCAAGAAAGTAAAATCTCTCACTGCCTCCATTTCTTCCCCTTCTATTTGCCAGGAGGTGATGGGACCAGTGGCCATGATCTTGGTTTTTTTGATGTTGAGCTTCAGACCATATTTTGCGCTCTCCTCTTTCACCCTCATTAGAAGGTTCTTTAATTCCTCCTCACTTTCTGCCATCAAGGTTGTGTCATCTGCATATCTGAGGTTGTTGATATTTCTTCCGGCGATCTTAATTCCAGCTAGGGATTCATCCAGCCCAGCCTTTCGCATGATGAATTCTGCATATAAGTTAAATAAGCAGGGAGACAATATACAGCCTTGCCGTACTCTTTCCCAATTTTGAACCAATCAGTTGTTCCATATCCAGTTCTAACTGTAGCTTCTTGTCCCACATAGAGATTTCTCAGGAGACAGATGAGGTGATCAGGCACTCCCATTTCTTTAAGAACTTGCCATAGTTTGCTGTGGTCGACACAGTCAAAGGCTTTTGCATAGTCAATGAAGCAGAAGTAGATGTCTTTCTGGAACTCTCTAGCTTTCTCCATAATCCAGCGCATGTTTGCAATTTGGTCTCTGGTTCCTCTGCCCCTTCAAAATCCAGCTTGCACTTCTGGGAGTTCTCGGTCCACATACTGCTTAAGCCTGCCTTGTAGAATTTTAAGCATAACCTTGCTAGCGTGTGAAATGAGTGCAATTGTGTGGTAGTTGGAGCATTCTTTGGCACTGCCCTTCTTGGGGATTGGGATGTAGACTGATCTTCTCCATTCCTCTGGCCACTGCTGAGTTTTCCAAATTTGCTGGCATATTGAGTGTAGCACCTTAACAGCATCATCTTTTACAATTTTAAATAGTTCAGCTGGAATATCATCACTCCCACTGGCCTTGTTATTAGCAGTGCTAATCTGTTAATCTGTTATTCAGTTGTAAATATCTTCAAGATGCCTTGTGGAAAGCAATTCA